GTCCCAATTAAAATAGCCTGTTCTTGTGCACGCCATTGGTGCACAAGCCTTTTGCTTTCATTATTTGTTATCCAGTTGTTTTCTTTTGTAAAAGGCAAGAGTTTAGAAATGAATCCATCTTTAGTCTGTGCCCATTTTAAAATGATGTAAGGCCTCTTTTTCTCGTGATAAGTAAAAAAGCGTTTGTTTAGTTCACGGCACTCATCTTCCATTACGTTTGTAATAACTTCTATCCCAGCATTGCGCAGTTTTTCAATTCCTTTGCCCATAACCAATGGGTTTGTATCCAGACATCCAACAATAACCCTCTTTACTTTCTTTTGAATAATAAGGTCACTGCAGGGAGGTGTTTTACCGAAATGACTGCATGGTTCAAGACTCACATACAAAGTGCTTTCAGTTAGTAAACTATCATCCTTCAGCTTTTGAATCCCATTCACTTCAGCATGCGCCTTTCCATATTTTTCATGATAGCCTTCGCCAATTATTTTACCATCTCGAACAATCACACAACCGACCATGGGGTTAGGAGCCACACTACCCAAGCCCTCTTCGGCCAGCTGGAGACATCTCTGCATATAATTCTCATGTTCACTCATTGAATAATTGCTGTATCCTTATCAAGTTATGTGGCTGGAAAAATATGAAACTGAAATCTGAAATTATTGAAAAAGTATTAAGACTAGAATAGAAATACGCGACTATGGTTTAGACCTTAATTCAGGCCTGTGACCAGATTTATGCCTATTATCTCATCTGCTGGCACGGGTGGCAGTCTTTAAACTCTTTACGAGATGAAAAATGCCACCGTCTGTTTTGAAACTGGGAAGCCGTTTTAAATTCGTTACAAGTTCAAATGAGTCTATATTCTCACGTAATTTGCATGTAATAACACCACCTCGGCATTCACTTAGTAGATAGTAGGGAAAGCAGGGTTTATTAGTCACAACACTGGAACGGTAAAGAAGGCTACTAACGTCTCCCTTTTGTCAATCTTATACAGAGAAAATGAAAATAAGGCAGTGAGTTTTGCGTGTTTTTCACAAAAGAACATTAAATGTGTTCGTCGGGGAGCGCGGGTGGGACGGGAAGATGAGAGTGAGTAGATAAAACGAGTATTGCGCCAAGTGTTAAGAATGCGTTGTAGTTTATAGACGTTTTGGTCTATAACCTAACGGCATTTGTTTGAACTCGTTACGACTTAAAAATAGCATACGTAGTCTCCCACTCTCCCCATCCACCCAGTCTCCCACTCTCCCCATCCACCCACTCTCCTCATCCTCCGAGTCTGCCACTCTCCCCATCCTCCCAGTCTCCATAAAGTAGGTAAGAGTATAAAATTAATTTCGACTCGTTACGAGTTCAAAACAGCTTGCAGTGCAAGACTCCCCAGTCTCCTCTAAATTACGTGAGAACACAACACTCATTTGAACTCGTGATGAGTTCAATTCGACCACCCGAGCTCGAGCCTGTCCATCATCTAGTCTCCATAAAGTAGGTAAGAGTATGATATTTATTTGGAGTCGTTACGAGTTCAAAACAGCTTGCAAAGCAGACTCCCCTAGTCGATGTTCTTGTTAAGCAAGAATGCAAGATCTTGTGATATTTCTTGCCCAAGAATCGTTTCTTGCGGATTCTTGCATCTTTCTTGCCGCAAGAAAAATATATGAAAACTTTCTTGTGACAAGAAACTATCTTTCTTGCGCAAGAAAGCAAGAACACTTTTCTAGTCACTTCTTGCAGTAACCAGCCTCACTGCAAGAAACAAGATCTTGCAGTAAAAAGAATCAATCTTGCGTTAAAGGATGGAAGCGCTTGCATGTGTTCTTGCAATGAATAAAATATTACAAGAAGTTCTTTCGTTCTGTAGGTAGTGCAAATGGTCAATGGATTTTTCACGTGTATTTTGTCCGATGTAAATTTGCGACGAAGAAAAACATGCTTCATATAAATGCATATATATACTTGTCTAACATTTTTAAAAGTGAAAGAATTTATATAGTACACATAGACTTGTATGGCAGCCCCTATGGCGTTACAAAGCTTTTCTTCTCATTTTAAATGAGACGAAAAAGCAGTATCTCTTACATCAGACACTTATTTCTTCTACTAAGGTCATATCTGCTTTTTTAAGTTTCTCAAAGCAGAATTAAATCTA